CAATATTATCTTTGGCGGGTAATGGAACTGGTGTGGCAATGTAATTTTTGGTTGATGGTAGAACAGGTTTTTCATTGGAAGGAGTTGGAGTTAAAGGCTTATTAGGCTCGATTTGCAAGGCAACAGCAGCGTAGGTATTGCATTTGTTAATTCTTTGGGTCCCAGATGGATTTCTTTCCCGGTACGTGCGTCGCGCTTCACCCATGCTGCAGTAATTTTCTGTTTTTATTTTAGGAATTTCGCGCATTTGTATAAAACGTAGGCATTGTTTGTCTAACGTCGAGTGTTGATCGTTGCAATTTAAGAAGAAGCTACGCGTACAGTTTTCAGGATGTGGAGGAAGTCCACAGTTAGCACAGGATGGAGGACTGCTGCATCTTTTTGCTGTATGATCCAGGCGTTGGCAGTTTTTACACCTCATGGGATTTGGAAAGTAGAGTTCTACTTTATATTTGTACCAAGCTACATCAACCGTTGCCGGTAGCCGATAGCGGTCAAAAGATAAAATAATTCTTCCTGTAGAGAGCGGGTTTTTCTATCGACATTTAATTTGGTGAATTTGTAGACTTCAGTCACTCGTTGACTGCCCATTTCGCGAACAATTTCATTCACATGCTTTAAGCACGTGGCATAAAGTACGCCTTTAACCGAGTTGAGTTTGTCATGCAGTTTAGCGGATATAGCACATAAATTAGCTAATGATTTCGATTTTATGAGCTTTTCGGTTGCGCGCGGGTTCCCAGCGAGCACAAGTAAATTCCCATCGCGTAGAATCGACATACACTCTATATATGTTGCTATCTAGTGCTTTTTTAATAGCAAAAGGGCTGATTTGCGAAATTGTTATAGAAGGATCAGTTGGAGAAATCACAACATATTTTTTGTCGATGGGAACGATGCTACTGGCAACACCGGAAATTCGCAATTTAAAATTTTTTTTCTTTAAGGGGGTATGTCTGCTAATAGATGAAATCTATTTGAGTTTATATCAGGTGGCCCCGGGGCCATTATGCCTTATGGTTATCTCTTATTTAATAAATTGGGAAATAACCACTCACTTGATAAGGTTTGGGAACTGCTGAGTATAATGACAATTGTTTTCAATATTTTACTTTTCTTTTAAGTTTTTTTGAATTTTTTATTATATTTGCAGAAAAAGAAAGCAAATATCGTATATGCGATAATCAGTTTTTGCAAAAGCACAGAGAACACACGAGTTAAACACACAAAAGCACCGAAAAACACCAAAAACCATTAAAAAATCGCAGACGAAAAATAAAACACGCACTACTCAGAACACATCTGACGTCAATTTAACATTGCCTATTATCAACAAAAGTTGAGATATTAAGTTGAAGCGCACAATGATGGAAATTTTTAAGACTACAGGTAAAGCTTGCAAATTGATTTGAAGCATATAGGTGACAGCAGATATTAGTTTAGAATTTGAAGCACAAACTCTCGAAGGCTACTTAAACTTACTCTGTGAGAATTAAACTGATGCATATGCTGCACGAAACCCTCCGACAGAATGGTTGTCGTAAAATCAATATCTAACAGTGTCTGGATGGACTCTTACCAACACTTTCCTTTCTACGCCTATGTCTGCCTTTAAAATTTCAATATACGGAAAGGCGACGACTTTGATTATTTGTCCACGTTCGACATAATGATACATAGTAAAGTATACTTATATAGTAAAAGAATGGGTAACGATAGCATTTTTATGATGGTTAATCCGCAATTACAAAATAGAAAGGCATATATAATTAATCGCATAAGAATTTCACTTCAATCTAAAAAAAAAAAGAAATGATGAGCGTAACGAGATGTTACAAAGGATATAATAACTGTAGCCTCTTTTCCTTTGTATTTGATAGCTATAGAAAGAAAAAACTAAAACAGTCAAGAAAATACATTAATAACAATAGAATATCTTACCACGAAACGCCTCTGTTTTGTACAGTGTATTAACATATGAGTTCAAAACAATGCGAAGAATAGAAAAAAGTTTATTATTATTATTATTAATTTCGCCAGAGAAATAAATTCTAAGACTAAACTCTTAAAAGCACTAGCATCTAAGGCTGTCGGCTTTTTATTAAAAAGTTTAAATCTATATTTTTGTTTAAAGAATAATTGCATTGTATACATGAATATCTGCATTCAATAAAGAATTTTTACTAAAGGTTATTAAATATTGGATTTTTTATCGAATGGAAAGCATACCAAAGAAGATTCCAAAGAAACGTTTACATTTGTGTTGGCAACAAAACACTTTGTTTTTATGCTGAAATCCGAACTGTTTAAGTGAGTTACTGCTTTCGTTACCACACTATCGAACGAGAAGAAAGACAAAAATGATGCAATCTTTTTTTCGGTTAATCATACTTGATTGCTTTCTTATCGACTTAGGCTTCTTCTTCATTGCATTTACAACGGAAGTAGGGGAAGTCTTCTAAATAAATAAACAAGTGATATATAAAATTAAAAAAAAAATTCACGGACAAAAACAAACAAAACAAAATCATAAAACAAAGTTTAATAAATAATATATAAATTGGAGCAAATACGAACATTTAAAAGTTTCAATTCAATATCGGTCAATAGTTCAATTTCACGTACTAAAACCAAGAAATCCAGCCATACCTTTTCTATTGCTGCACATAAGTCTGCGTAGAGAATCAACTGCATATGAAAGTCATGTGAACATCCAAAGGAGAGTGTTGACGGATACAGGTAGCCATTTTTATTTGGCACAGAGAGAATAAGTTTCTATAACGCTCCCATTTAATATATTCCCCACACAATAAAATGCATTCGTTTTAGGTCTATCCAACGCCTTCAACTAAACAAGAAAGGAGATTTATGACGAAAATCTTAACGTTAAAGAGATATATGAAAAAATTAGAAACTATACTAAATTAATTTTAGTAAGTTGAATCAAATACATATTATTGTCTATTTAAATTTTTTAATTCTTTCCTTTAATGGCTATTTTGACATTTATAATTTCCATATTAGTTGAAGCTTAAAATTTGATTTCATTGTAGAAAGAGTAAATGGAGATGAGAAGTTATTTAAGAATATTACATCTTTGCTTAATTCTATATTATTGCAAATGCACGCAAATAAGACATTTGTATTCGGCTGTGACTGAATGAATGTGAAAATTTCTCAACGTAGTATAATGGTACCACAAACAACTGCGATTTTTTAAAAGTATTTTAGCTAGTTGAGAAACAAATTTTAAACGACTTAAGTTAATATAAGTATTAAAAAATTCTAACACTTGTGCAAGTTGTTCCATGCGAAGTTTATGTGGAAACCGCAAGATAGCCTGCTATAAAGATATCTAAAATTCTGTAGGGGTTTTCAATAAATGCGTTCATGAATTTCTCTGCCGGCTGTAAGGCATATCGGGTCATCCTATTGAGCCCACATGTTGTACATATTGATTTTTCCCAAAACGAAAATATGGCATAAACTGATTCTGCCCAGTTCTTAAGAGCAGAGAGGAGGCGATAGGCCAATTCCTTAACCATATCTTCTCGGACAGTATCTTGCACACATTAAATTTATGTGTCTTATCTTTACGCAAACATTATAAGACAGATTGTTTGCTTGCGGAGAGCTTGACTTGCGCTAGTTGCAGCGATCCCACATGAACTTTGACATACAATTTCATGACATTGAAGTTTTTTCATAATTAAACTAGTTTTCATAATTAAACTATTTAAACTAGTACCTTAAATAAATTGGCCTAAGCAACTAAAACAAGTTCTACAAAATACTTTAGAAAAGGCAGCCATAGATGAGTTTAGTCATACAATATTGGATGACGTCGCTATTTTTTGCCAACTCAGAAAACGCAATTTTGGTTACGAAGTAACATCAAATACCAAGAATTGATGATAGCTTCTTAGCACAAAATGATAAAAGTAATATATACCTTAGCGTTCAGTTTAATTCATCTAAAACAGAATAGAAATAATATAAAATTAAACAATAAATATAACCACAACATCATTTAATCGTAAAGAAAAGCTAACAACAAATGAAACAATAAGTAAACTTTTCTCTTAAATAAAGGGAATTTTCTAATGTGTTCCAGTAGCACACAAGTTGCATGCTAACATGTATGACTACAAAGCGAAACAAATAGCGAGAGAGCAGGGCAGAATTGTATTCAAAAGAGGGTGAAAAGAGACATTTATAAATACAAATCTCTTTAGTAACCAAACAAGAAAAGAAAAAAAACAATTAGAAAAATTCCGATACTTTGTTATTGTTGGAGGCCCATGAGCGTGAATTTCAGTACTAGCGACATCAGTAACCGGACTACGCAACCATGCACAACCATGTACATACATGTACAACCATGTATAGAGAACCAGACAGAAACCTGTTTTTGCAATTTTCTCGGGTTTCATTTAGTCAACAGTGAACAGCACGTCAATAATGACGTTAACGGTCGTGGTCGTTTGCTAATAGAGCTGGATGTTTATGAATTTTTGGAATAAAATTGTTAAACTAAACGAAGCTTAATAGAAATACGACAGAATTAAATTAATGATTGCCAAACCAAGCTTTAAAAAAAAACAAATAAATATTTACAACATTTAAGAAAAATGTAATCTTTTAGATAAGCAAAATATTAAAGTTTAAAGAAAAAGCACCTTAATGCAAAAAAAGAAAAAAGATTGTTGCCTCTTTCTACTAAAGAAGTAAATAATACAGAAAAGGAAAAAACCACAGCAATATGCTGGAAATTTTTAATTTTCCTTAAAAGTCTGGCTGCGGTATTGTTCTTGAGATCACGTACAGCAAACCAAGTATGCCACCATTTTAAACTTAGTGAATGAAATAACAAAAGATAAAAATTATATTCAAGAGTTGAGTTTCTGCCACTCATTGTGTACTTCAATCCCGGCATACATCATGTAATAGTGTTGATTTTCTAAGGTTAGCATGAATTTAAAGCATCGATTGCTACAAAATCAATTCCCATCTTTTTATAAAAATTTTTAATAATAATAATCGCAGAATCAGGGTATAACAGCTTTGTACTATTAGATATGTTACAAAGTCTCACCAAAGCATATATATTTTTGATGTCCATGCCCGTGTCCATGATATTCGAAGTCGACTTAACTCAGTCCGTATGTATGTTTCATGTGATATTCAAAGAATCTTCAGTCGTACAAATTGCGATAGAAACCAAATTTGGGTGTTCACATTTTTCTTTGGAAGTACAGCAGCGTTATAAATCGCTTATTACTATTCAAAACTTGGAACAATTTCCCAACAAACTGAAGGAATATTCATTGCCCAAAAATTTGTATACTTCATTAAGTTCTCCTTTTAGCCAAGAGCAAGTAAACCAAGCAAGTAAAATCGTGAGTTCTTATTGTTTATTTTTTTTTTTCGTTCATTTAGTCTTAGGAAAGCCTTTCCTTATCAATTAACAAATCTCTAATATTTTGTTACTATAATAAAAGGGCGAAAGAAAGTAAAGAAAAAAAATCCAGAAGATTTCGATATATACTTTCAATGTAAAGCAATTGCTGAAAAAATTGAAAGAGAAAAGGAGAAGAATAAAAAATAATAATTTTTCGTGGCGTCAGTGTGCTTACAAAAGGAAAAAAAAATTAAATTAATTTCAAAATGTTAGTTCATTCCACCAACTCTTCTTCAACGCCGACGCCCGGTTCTACGTCTTCTGCCACAAACACTTTGGAACCTCTTCCACGCTCTACAACAACTACTAGCAATACTTCAACCAATTCTTCAAATCATCACCATTTGCCGCCTTCACAAATGACAAATTCACCGCTAAATTCCCGACCACCATCGCGCGCGCCATCCATTCTGGATAGTCCAACTTTAGCACGTGTAGAACGGGCGCGTTTACGTTTGGAAGCTTCTAGTCAGCAACAATATTTGAATGGCAGTTGCGGTAGCAGTATAAATACATTAAATCGTGAGAATAGCTTAGAACGTGCTGCAATGGATCCAAAGGTAAGAAAGTGAATATCAACATTTGATTGCTTTGTAAATTTTTTGACGCTTGCCGATTAACAGCAAGTAATATATCATGTGACTGTTTGTTTTTTATGACCAAATGCTGATCTGAGGAAAACAATACGTTTTGACTACGACGTAAAGATAATGAAGTTTTTTTGCAAAGTTGGCAGTAACTTTCTTTGGTTGGTGGACCGATATCAAAAAATTATGACTCACCTTTTTCTCCAAGTAATCAACAATACTGTCCATAACGCAAACCCAAGTCACCAGTACAGGGATTTTATTTTCTCTCCGCTATTTCATTATATTATTTGGAGGAAGCCTCTAATGCGCCAAAACAGTGATTACATTCAGGCATACATATGTTGAAATCCAATTGTTTCATCAAGTTTTTCGAGAAGCGACATGACTGTGAAAACTTAATTTTATGTTCTAAAAATTTGAACAGTTTAACATATACTGAAATTTTCACAGTTTAATATATACTGAAATTTTCATCGTTCAAAACCCATTAACACATTTCAATCATCCGATGCATATTGATACTTATCCAACTTTAAATGCATATAACGCTACATTTTTTTATTTTTTTTTATATATATAAAAAGGCAAAGGGTCAGGCCTATAAACGATAGGACCTATCCAGTAAGGCTGCGAGTATTTCTTCTTTAAAGCTTAAGTTCGATAACGGTAATAAAAGTGATAGTAGCGAAAATTGATGATGTCGCCTGATGATTATTATTGAGTCATTGATGATTCATTGCTGTTGGTCTCTCTTGATTAATAGTTATTTAAGTTGTAATAGTCCACTCTGGAGTTTAGCCCAGAGGATTAATTGTAAAAATACTATTAGACGAGACAAAAAGTTTAATTATAATTATAATAAATTAAAAGCAGAAATTAGCAGTTAGCCGCTTAAGATGAGTTTGTTGCGACCACGAAAGATTTCATATAGGTTCTTATAGGTACCGAAAATTTTAAATGAATATCTAGTATCGTTGAATTTACGGTACATGAAACTAAGATGGTCACTTCATTCTTTTCTATGATTCCTATTACATATATCAGATGACACTATATTTATTATTAGGCTCAAAGCAGATTATTCTGCTTCTTTCATTGTATTATCGCTTTTAATTCAAGTAAATTGAACATGTTGGCCGTTTGTCATTTCTATTAAAACCTTGATATCACAGTCATGCAAATTACGCTGCTTGCTTTAAAACTTGCGCTAAGAATGGCAAAAGCGATCTTTTACAGCAATTTAATAAAAATAATTTCCCTATATTCCTTCCCCTGCTCTTCATCTTTACGTTTTTATTCCAGCCATCGAAAAAAGTCGCATTATTTATGCTGTAACTTAATAAGATTTTCATGTGTAGAAGCCATAGATCTTTGTTTTTGTACCCCCAAGACTGGTGAGCGAATCAAACTGCGTTTGTTCAGTTTGTGACATATCACGAAGCAATTAAATCGCTACTGAGCGGTAAATTTCGAGTCAAAAATAGCTTGGAATCAAAATTGGTATAAGTACGTGTGCTCTAGTTGATTGCCACAGTGATCAAATTTGAAAATGAAAAGTAATTCTTAAACCTCACAGTGGAGAATTCTCATCAGATATTTTTCTTAATTTTGATACAAATGTCTACGAAAATCAAAATTTGAGGAAAAATATCTACAAAGCTGTGACAAACGGCCTACAAGAGACATCGATTGAAATAATAATAAAAAGGTCTCCTAGGGCCATTTAGGCAGGCTGGCTAAATTAAAAGCTGAAATTAAAAGATTTTGCAATTCTAATTCATACTGTCTACCAGATATCGTGGCTTCAAGTAAATGTCTTACTTGTACAAGACTAAATCTATATGCTTAATTTTTTTACTCTAAATCAAATATATTTATTAGGAATTCATTTCGTAGTAAAAGTGCCCCACCAAACCTTTCTTTCTTTCTCATCATCTCCGTCCTACGAGCTTACCTTGTCTCATTTTTCTTTTATTTATCACGCAATATAGACAACTAGTTATCATTACTGGAAATGATTTTATCGAAGATAAATTGCGTATTGAATCTGTCATTTAGTTTGCGGCAGCCAAAAACACGTGAAACAGTGAAAGTATGTTTATTTTTGATCACGAAAATAATCTGGGATTCGTCTTTAATTTAACTGGCCGTACGTCTTTTTAAGAAAATGATTATAATCGTCCAAACCTCTAATATGAACACAGATATTTCTATAAACCATGCCTATGCCTAGAAACCAAGGTTAAAAATAGACATGACTTAATAAAGCGCCTGTACAAGCTGAAAAGCGTTACTAATCTGAAAACCAAATTAATAACAATTAAAATGATAGCAAGCTATGCAACCTTTAGCAGAAATTGCTCCATCAATCTGTGAAACCTATTGAAAAGGTAAAACCATCCAAATTATGTTCTGCCCTCTCAATTCATTTTACAGTTTTTCGTAAGAAGTATTCAAAAATCTTTTTCCTTTTAGTTAGATTTGGTTAACTTAAAATATATTCATAGTTGAACATTCTATAGCGAGGTTTGCCATCTCGAAGGCATAATAGTTTTGGTTGAAAATTAGTAAATTAATTTATTGCTTTTCTAGACCGCCACACTTTGCGAGCAGATTATGTTAGAAGATATTTCCTTTCGAATGATTGCAAAGGTCATATTAATCCGCTCGACGTGTCTTTGCTCTGTTTTAAAATGTGTAAATTTTTGTGTAAATGCGATGAGCTTCTTACAAAAATCAAAAGAGCGCTGGCTAAACAACGATTCGAGCTTGCTAAAGAAATTCGTAGAATTTTTTTACATTGAAAATATGTTCTAAAACTCTTTTGAAAATAATTTTATTAAAAATTTTCTAATATTTAAAACACTTTAGTTATATAAATGACTTCAATAAAGAGAAATTTTGTTTAAACAAAAGAAAAATGCGAAAGAAATAAAGAAAACAACAGTTGCTGCATGAAATGGGTCAAAGTTTTATTTGGTTGAGTACTAGATTTTTCTATTCATATAGCTACCGATTTATAAACACAAAACATATATGACACGTACAATGTAGTAAAATAAAATAATATTGTGGGATTACCGAAAGAAAAAAAGCTTTAAAAAGCATATAGATGTACATATATATATATATATATATATATGAATGTGTCCTTTAAAGTGAATTGTAGACATCCATCAACAAAAGTTAAGCACTTTTATCATAAGAATTCTACTGTGCATACGCATATCTTTAGTCAGCTTCAGTTGTTCCTCATATTCTTTTGTCTTTTGCCCCCTTTCCCACGAGGCCCCCTTCATAGGTTAAAATTTCTTAGTGAAATTTTGAATATTACACAAAGACAGACGGCAAGTCTATTATCAGGATTAGACTTTGTAATCAAAGGAAATTATAAAAAAAATAATTTTATAGTCTATTTTAATCTATAACATTAAGATAATGCTGACAAGAAGTACAATTTCGAACGCAAATAGATCAAATCTTTACACGCAAGAACACGGAGTCGGATTGCCAAACAAAATATCAATTACTCACCCTAAAGACTACACAATTCATAGAATCATTTCGTTCATCTACCTAATATTCTTCATATGTACTGGCATCTAGCGTTAGTAGTTTACGATTTCTCTTCTTCGAGGCATAATACTTATTTAATTATGGGATTTGGAACTTACAAGGAAATTTCGGAAAAGAAAACTAAAAATTATTACAAACGAAAAATTGATTCAAAATAACCTGAGCTCTGATAGCGCCATCAGCAAGAAAAAACATCAAATATGAAACGTAATAGAAAAAAAAAAACAAAATAAAAAAAAAAACCCATAAAATTCTGCAGATGTAAAATTATAGCAAATTGTATTTCTCGTTTTTTCTTTTTCTTTGTACAATTTTCAATATTTCCTCTGCAAGGGTGTTTGCAAAAAGAACACATTTATCTCCGTCAGTGCATGAATGTATGCGAATTTCCGTTTATGACACCAGCAACTGTGTTAATGTGCCTTGTGCGAAAAATGCAAGCACACGAACATTGGAAACCACCATGATGTAAAAAAAAAAAAAAATTGTTTATACTAATATTTTTTGGCCACCATGTGAATGGTTGCAACACATGGATGTAGAGCGCTTAGCTGACATTGAAGTAGAAAATATTTAGGTTATGTAATCGGGTTTTTGGTCATAAATTTTTTTTCTCCAAAAAAATCTTGTAGCCTTATGCCTTACGTTGTTGCTTGTTTGTTTTTTCTTTCATTAAATTTTAGCGGAAGAAGTTCAAAAATGTTTTGTACGCATTACGATAACTTTGTGTAAAAATTGTGCCATGCTTGTAGTTCCATGTATCGACTCTTTCTCTGTTAGTTATGCTCTATAAAATTTTCTGAAATATCTAAACACGTTCGTTTTGTTGCTTCTTTCTTTATTTATTCTTTCGTTTTCTTTTTTTTATTTTGCTTGATGTTATTTTGGTTTTATTTTTCTTTATCTCAAGTGAATGCGTCGAAGCCTGACTTTGGCAAACGCGTATGGGAAAACGCGGCATTTTTCCATGATGTGTATAACACCTAAACGGAATCTTCAGAGACCCTATAAAGTGTATATATATACTTGATTAACGTGAAATTCTGAGTTCATTTAGCCATGTGTGTCCGCTTGTGTGCCTGTGTGGTGTTTGTTGTTGGGACTCTCCTGGACGCAAAAACGAAGATATCGACTTCAAATTTGGTAGAAACATTGAAGCTTAATGCACGTAGGTCGATATTGAAAATGGGTTAGAGCATTGAGTGAAGCATAAACTGAACGCAACTCCATTTTCCTTAACCAAAATTTGTTGGGTTTTGCCCGCAGAAGGTATAAAAGTTAGAAAGATGAAATTTTCCACATTTACTTTACGAAACACTCTACTCTTTACGTGAAAAAATGGAAAAAATCAACCCTGGCCACACAAAGTTACAAGTAATTAAATTGTTTTTTTT